TAGTTAGTGTGTTCGAGTGTTAGAGTGATGCGTGTGGGATATCCAGGGTGATCCAGTGTATGTGAACAGTGAGATGTTTGGGCGCTGAAGTCGCCATACCCAATTAAGAGTGAACTCGTATCTGAAAGTCATATCTCTGAGTTTTGAGTGGGCGCATGTCGCCAGTATGCTGCGATGCTGTTTACATGCATGAAAAGTGTGTTTGAAAACGAGTCTGATTGCAAAATTCAGAATTGTAGTTTATCTGTTGTCCGACTTTTTGGGCTTTTTCCCTTGCTATCCATTCTCTCCCTTTCCCCTCCTCCCCCCCCTGTATCCTGTTTTGTCTTATATTCAAGACCTGACTTCTCTCTTCAGCTTAGCTTTTGGCCATCTGCCAGTCCTTGAGCTAGAATTTTATTTATTATTATTCATTTATTTTGTATGTGTGTGTGTGTGTGTGTGTGTGTGTGTGTGTGTGTGTGTGTGTGTGTGCCCTTGCTCACGTGTTCTGGTTTATCTTGCCATGATATGATACATGTTTTTTCTTTCTTTCTCTATAGGTCTGCAACTGTTGACCCATCTCTGTTCTCCCAGTACTTTGGTGGGTGTCCTATCATTTCTGCGTCTGGGCGTACATTCGGAGTGGAGACACATTTTCTGGAGGACGTATATGAAACGTTGGAGTATAGGTTGACATCATCCTCAGATGCAGCGCTGCATGGCCAATATGATATGAACAGGAAAAAGGTACGTAGCTTTGCGATAACAATCGTCAGCGGAGTGTATCGTGCTTGTTCCCACAGGAGCAGCACCCCAAGCCCACAGCACACCGAAACGAAATCGCGTGCACCAAAGTGACAAAACAAGGGAGAGATGAAGAGGTGGTGTGTCAGGCATACAAGAACTGTGAACTCGAAGCAGTTGTTAGGGGGTGTGGCAAGCTGGAAAATGCAGTGGAATCTGGGGTAGGATTGATTGTGACTTACTCCCAGACACTCCATAAGGGGTAGGGGCTAGAGGGTAACACGGCCCTGGGACACCGGACCCCCTACCTACGGGTAGCTGTGGGTAGGGGGTGGTGGGTAGGGGGGTAGGGAGGTAAGGGGGTTGGGGATATGGGGTACGGGGTACAGTGTACAGGGTAAGGGGCAGGGGGTAGGGTGCAGGGGTTCATACTGTACATGTTCTCACCTTGAGGGAAATATTTTGTAACAAAGTGTAATGACCGATCAAACCACCGAGTGAGAACGCTGCTGATTTCTGAGTTTTGCGGCTGTAATGAATGCCATGCTGAGATTCCCACGTTCTGCTGGCTTTTCTAAGTCTGTGTGTGTGTGTGCTCGCAGGTCTGCATGCCTGTCTGAGTGATTGTCGATTTGAGTGTGTGTGTGACCCACAAGGGCACTCGCTTGTTTGGAGGGCCCGCAGGGCTGGTACTTCCCTGTGGCCGTGACTTTGAGGGTTGCAGCGGGGTGGCTGGAGTAGGCCCGCGGCACTTAAGAGTAGGTTGGCCAATATCACTCAAGTAGTGGTAGATGTGTCGGGAACTGGAGGCCGAGCAGAAGAAAACAAAAGTTGGCATTTTTAGAGGCCCAGTAGTTGGTAGGCTAGGTCTAGGTGGGTACCAGTCCAAGTAGCCTGAGTCTAGGGCTGGTGCGGAGGAGGTACCGGTTGCTTGGAGGCCGCGTGGCCTGGAAGTCGCCGCCCAAGGGCAGGTAGGTTGCTATATCTTCGGGTAGAGCGCTGGGCTCTACCTCATTTGCGGTATGCAAGTCTGGGCGACATGATGCTTGAGCAAGCGCTAGCAGTCTGGGGGATGAAGGAAGAGGAGCTCTGATAGGAGCAGAGCTGGGAGGGGGAAGAAGGCCGGGAACTTCCACCTCGGCTATGGTGGAGCTCTACCGATAGGAGGAGGAGGAAGAAGGGGACTAGGGAGGAGAGTGGCGAGGTACCTACCTAGCTATGGTGGATGCCATCTTCATCACCTTGTTAGGCGCTGCATCTGGAAGGCCCCAGTGGGGGTTGCACCGCACCAAGAAGGCATTGAGGCAAAGTCAGGCATGGCGGCTTGAGCAGCAGTAGACATAGCTGCTTTGTTGTCTTTTGCACAGCAGGGCTAGGCCCTTAGTAGTCTGCCATAGCGTCGGCCTGACTGAAGAGGAGGAAGGAGGAGGCCATGGCTATGGTGGACCTCTACTTATGCCAAGCAGTAGAAGTGGGATTCGGACTTCGATTCTGGTTCAGCCTTCATCATTATTATTATTATTTAATATTTATTGTTTGAATAAGAGAGGAGGCGTTAAGGAGGTGGAGATGGTTGGCGAGTGAAGGAGGGATTGTCATTGGTCTTTTGCTGGTGTACATCTTCTTCTTTCTTTCTTTCTTCTTCTTCTTCTTCTTCTTCTTCTTCTTCTTCTTCTTCTTCTTCTTCTTCTTCTTCTTCTTCTCTTCTTCTTCTNTCTTCTTCTTTCTTTCTTTCTTCTTCTTCTTCTTCTTCTTCTTCTTCTTCTTCTTCTTCTTCTTCTTCTTCTTCTTCTTCTTCTCTTCTTCTTCTTCTTCTTTCTTTCTTTCTTCTTCTTCTTCTTCTTCTTCTTCTTCTTCTTCTTCTTCTTCTTCTTCTTCGTCTTCGTCTTCGTCTTCGTCTTCGTCTTCTTTATCTCTCCCTCTTCTCAAGTTCATTCATTTCTTTTGTAATTGGACGGCATTGTGCTTTCTCATGAATTTTGCACTTCGAAATTGGCCAGGATCGTAACAAAAGAGCAAAACACCTCTGGTTGTTGGCCCCCTACCTTGGGTAGGAGTGGGTAAATGGTGGTGGGTAGGGAGATAGGGGGGTAGTGGATATGGGGTAGGGGGTACAGGGTAAGGGGAAGGGGGTAGGGTGCAAGGGTTCATACTGTCCATGTCCTCATCTTGCTGGGAAATATTTTGTAACAAAGAGAACAGCACCTCTGGTTTTCGGCCCCTACCTTGGACAGGGGTGGGTAGGGGGTGGTGGGTAGCGGGGTAGCTGGGTAGGGGGGTCAGGGAATATGGAGTATGGGGTACATGGTAAGGGGCAGGGGGTAGGGTGCTGTCCATGTCCTCACCTTGCTGGGAAATATTTTCTGTAACGAAGAGAAAATCACCTCTGGTTGTTTTCTGACATTTCTCAACCTTTTGTTCTGTTATGCAACTTATTTTGTGCAGACGGCAAAAAATTTGGTCGCCAGCAGTCGAGGTCGACAGGACCTAGTCCGTTCCGGATGGGGAGACGATGCCTCTCTCGACGAGGCAATGGTTAATTCGAACTACGACGAGAAGCGCTACGTCAATTACAGTGAGAGGACACACAAAAACTTGGTAGGATTTTGATTGAGGTCTTCACACCACAACCATTAATCAAACGATGAATGAGGGTCGAAGATAGCCTTGGATCCTGTGATTACTGAAATAAAGACTTTAGAAGTCTAGAACTTTAGATAAAACATTTTAAACAGCAACTCCAGTTCAAAACAGTGTTTAAGGCTGGGAGGCAAAGCTTGAAACGATTTATCAGCACAACCATTAATCAAATGAAGAATAAGGATTGAAAATAAGTTTAAGTAACCCTGGATCTTGTGTCTAACAAATTAAAGGCTTTAGAAAGTTTAGATTAGAGCAGAAAATAAGCAACCCCGGATCAAATCAGCGCTTAAACTTTTAAAGTTGGGTGTTGAAACTTGAAATCGATACTTCAGCACAGCAAGCAGTTTGTTCCAGTTCCGCTTGCAGTGAGGGAGAGCAAATGATCCTGGATATCATACAAGCAATGATTGGAAGGAAAAGGTGGTGAATCATCTTGCTTTAGGGTACGTTTTGAATCTTTTGATCGATAACCGTGCTAAACACTCGTCATCATCGTACTACCGTCTTCACCCGAATAGAACGCCCGGTCATTATAGCTTCATTTGGCCCAACTTTCAGTCCAGATGCAGCGATAATGACCAGGCGTTCGGGTGAAGACGGTAGGAGTCATAAGAGTTAGAATTGTGAGAATTAGCGCTGGGGTCGCAGTTGTGCTCTCCAAGATCCCCCGGACTGGGATTGGAACTGGGGCTGCATGCTCGGCCAAAGGTCAGTGTGTCAGGTTGGTACACTTCCAATTTTTTCTGGAACTCAATTTCCAATGCATAAGTACTACTTACTTCAAGTTATTGTATAGTAGAAGGATGGTGAAATGTTTAATCTTGTTTTTGTGTTTTAGATTCAGCCTGTAGGAGCACGTAAGGTTTTCGTCGTAACTGGAGACTGAAGTTCTTTGGATTTCTGGGCATGGGACGGTGAGGGTTTGTCGGGGTGGTTACCTTGGTTGGCGACTGAACGAGTCGGGTCAACTTGTTAATGTGGATGTTCTGTCGTTGTTTGTTTGAGTGCAGGCACTTGTGGATGAAGAGAAAATTGACTATGATCTCCTAGAAGAACTGATCATTCACATTGATACAAACTACGAGCCTGGCGCTATTCTCGTTTTTCTACCTGTAAGTTATTATTTATTTATTTGTGTGTGTGTGTGTGTGTGTGTGTGTGTGTGTGTGTGTGTGTGTGTGTGTGTGTGTGTGTGTGTGTGTGTCTTTGTGTGTGTGTGTGTGTGTGCATGTGTGTGTGTGTGTGTGTGTGTGTGTAATGGAAGCAACCTCAGTCCGAACAGGCGAACTCCATGCCCCACCCCAACCTCAGTCCGAACAGGCGAACCCCATGCCCCACCGATCTTTCTGTTTGTAATGGAAGCCGTAGCTCCTTCTCACTCAAAAACGCTTCAAAATATACAGAGAGGCTTGCAGATTGCAGTGCCAGGACTCTGAAATGCTTAACTTTCCCAACCACAATCACGTTTGCTGGCGTCCTGACGAGCTTCGGACTCATCCTTCAGAGCACTGGGCAGGGCAATGGAAGCGTTCAGATTGGCGTTAGGAATGAAGGTGAACTGGAAGAAAAACAATAGGGCGGTGGTGGATGACAGAGGGAGCAACGCCTCATATACAAGGGGTTTCGGTGAGTGAAATGACGTGGGCAAGAGACCGGACAGTGGGTGGACTCCCCTACCAGGAATCTGGGTATCCACTATCCAGGTTGCAAAAGGCGGACCGGGCCCGCAGATGGCCCAGAACTGACTAAGCAATTCAATTATCAGAATGGGGGTAAATGGGGTCAAACCGTCAAACATTCGCATCCTGCTGGGTAGAGCATTAAACCACCAGTATTTGGCCCGTACATCGGCCGCGGGCCCTTGACGTTAACACGCTGCGTCTTCCAGGCTTCAGGGCTACCGGACCACAATGGCTGGCGTGCCAGCCAAAAGAAAAAAAAAAAAAAAAAAAAAAATTGTGCTGGCGGTTCTACAAAGCTTGGTGCGCAGGGCATTTGGAGCCCCGATCCCGGAAGAAAGTTCCCCGGAAGTACCGGTCGTTTAGCGAACACCGAACGACACCTCAATGTTCTCCATGATGTGGTACATAGCGTCTATCTGGACGACAATCCTGGACCTCCACATTTCTGAACTCCACAAGAAAGCAAGAGCTTATTATCTCTGGGACTCTCGATGGTGACCCCAAGAAAGGAAATTTTATCCCAAAAATAGCCCGGCTATCTAGCTTTCCCGGGGCGCCTCGCCCGGGTAGGTCCCTCGCCCGGGGTACCCCGGGCATGAAAAAAATCCGCTGAATTTTTTTTTGTTTGTTTGTTTGCAGGGCCTTGCTGCGCTTTCCGAGTACAGCCCAAATCTAGCCTCATTTCCTTTTTTCGGCCATGTTGGTTTCTGTGTGTTGCGGGGGGTGGAAGAAGAAGGGAAGATGTGGAGGGAGGAGATGGCGGAGGAAGGAGAGACGGAGATTATGTAGAGGGAGGAAAGAGATGGAGGAGCAAGAAGAAGAGGAGGAAGAAAAAGTAGAAAAAAAACTGTTGAGATTAAGAAGAGGAGGAAGAAGAAGATGATGAAGAAGAAGGGCAGAAGGAGGAGGGAGGGAGCCTTTGGAGGGAGGAGGAGGGGGGAGGGAGCCTATGGAGGGAGGAGGACGGCTATGGCGAACAGAGCCAAACCGTTGAAAAGAAAAAAAAATGCTGATTCATTGATGAAGTTCATGAAGCAAACAGGAAGGAAGAATAGGAGAAGAGACGACAAGAAGAAAGACAAGAAGAGAATAAGAGAAAGAAGAACCGAAGAGGAGGAAGACGACGAGCAAGAAGATGATGATCAAGAAAAAGAAGCAGAAGAATGAGTGGAAGAGAAAGAAGACACGATGAAGAATGATAATGTGAAGAAGAAGAAACGACAAAGAAGATAAAGAAGAAGAAGAATGAGAGGAAGAAAAAGAAGAAACGATGAAGAAGAAGAAAAAGAAGAAACGATGAAGAAGAAGAAACGACAAAGAAGAAAAAGAAGAAGAAGACGAAGAAACGAAGGAGGAAAAGAACACGAGGAAATGGAGCAGAGAAGAAGAGGAAGAATAATGAGAAGAGGATGAAGAAGAAGAGGAGGAGGAGGAGGAGAAGAAGAAGAAGAAGAAGAAGCTGGAGAGCGGCAGGGCAACGACGGCACAGATGGTCGATGGCACAGATGGAGGGCGATGACGATGGCACGGCTGGAGGGCGACGACGATGGTTCAGCTGGAGGTCGACGATGATGGCGCGGCTGGAGGGTAGCAGGACGATGACGACAATGGCTTGGCAGGGCGACGACGGCGCAGACGTCTCCCCGACGGCAAGTGGTGCAGTCGAAGTCCAGACAGCGGAGGGCGGAGGGTGCAGGGACGCGCGCGAAGTCCTGGGATTCAAACTCGAAATCTCGGGACTTCGGCGCCGTCGATCGATGGCCCAGAGGCAAGGGGGCCTACCGGACCCCAAAATTTTTTGCGGCCGCTGCCTTCTTTTTTTTTTCCCCTCTGGGCCGTAGTCTCGTGGCGCGAAATTTTTTTTTTGGACGTTTTTGGGGCTTGGCGCTGAGGGGGCCCGGGTGCGTGACCGGGGGGGCCGGCCGTGGGGGTCGCACGGCCGGCCCCCCCGAGCGCCCTTCCGGGCGACCTGCGGGGGCCCGGGCGCCCGAGCTGGAAAGCTAGCCGGCTATACGTCACAAGGAAGCTATCAGCAAGAGGGTTAGGGATGATTGATCCAAAACCAGAAACAGAAGCACTGCAAGTGAAGTGGGTTATCAAATTAGTAATTACTAACCAAGGTTAACCAAACAGAATTTGACACTGGTCTAGTCTGGCTACCATCTTCACCCGAATAGAACGGCCCGGTCATTATAGCTGTGGCACAACTTTTGGTCCAGATGCAGCGATAATTACTGGGCGTTCTATTCGGGTGAAGACGCTAGGGACAGTATTCTGACCCTTACCGGGCCTCACGCCAATAGACTCTCCTTCCAATATGTCTGGTCTGTTCTGGGTTATGAACAAGGAATGGAGTTGTAACTTGTAAGACAGGAAGAAGAAGATTCGAACCGGATGCGCTCCCCCAGAGGAAAATCCCGCTCCACTACTCTATCGGACAACCTTAAAAGACTACAGATGAACTCTGCAGTACAAGATCTCAAATTCAATCCAATGGAATGAGCCTGGCAGACCAAAGAAGGTAGCAAAAGAAAGGGAATCTCACTCTCATAATTTCATAAACGAATTCTCAGTCAAGCTAGACTACTGCTGAAAAAAAAAAGAACTTTTTTTCTTTTTTCTTTTTTGGAATTCTGGGCAGGGCCTGTTAGAGGGAGTGATAAAAGCATCTCCCTCTAGCGCGCCCGTCCCTGGATGCTCCGGTCTATTGGTGCGGAGCAGCACCTGTTGGAATCCGGGTCCAGCATCCCATTATACAATCCTTCAACTTGCAATGATCCGCTCAGATTTGCTCTCCACACAACAAACATGCACAATGAAAGCTCACACAGAGATTCACACCAAAGCCAGGTATGCATAATGGAACACCAAATCAGCGCAGCTCCGGAACTGCAATGAATACGCATATTGTACAAATTCAGAGGTCAGATAACCAGCGCTCATCAGCACATGCAACAACAACCGCAATCAGGTAGGTAGTAGGTACCCAAGTATCCTCCCTTGTGGCTATCTCTCCTCTGTCTCTTCTCTCTCTCTCTCTCTCTCTCTCTCTCTCTCTCTCTCTCTCTCTCTCTCTCTCTCTCTCTCTCTCTCTCTCTCTCTCTCTCTCTNTCTCTCTCTCTCTCTCTCTCTCTCTCTCTCTCTCTCTCTCTCTCTCTCTCTCTCTCTCTCTCTCTCTCTACTACTACTTGGATCATAACCTTGGATACATCCGCTCTACTTCAACTGCAACTTCAGCTATGCAAGCTATGGCCGCCTTCTACTTCCTCAACCGAACTGGTATGCCGCCAATCAGGCCCTCTGGCACACAGTCCAAGCTTGTGAGGTCGCACAAGCAACCAGCAGCACTTCCGCAACTCACGCAGGACGATTGATTATGCGAGCTGCACTGCAGCAGCTATTAATAGTTGCTTGACTTGGCCTTGGTTTGGTCCTGACCGGTAGTGGTCGCCCGCTGCCTGTCTGCTGCATGAATTTTGGTGGCCCGGTACCTTCCGGACTTTTCCTGGGACGCTGCTGCAAAATTGGACTTTGGGCCTGGACTTTTCTTGTCGGGTACCGGTTGGACTTTTACCGGTCTGTCTGTAAGGTACCAGCCCGACATCGACTTACAACGTTTCGGCCTCCTACGGACCTAAGGACCCTAATGACCCTACGTGGGACTCACCTACTCGGACAGGTGGCACGGGGACCATCTGGGACTGGGCTCAACAGGGACTGGGACAATCTGGGACTCTGGAACTGGGACTCGGGCTCAGCTACTGCTCGGCCCCCTCATACACAGATTGTCCCAACATGAAATCCTTTCAAACTCTTTCCCTGGGGCCATTACCCGGATAGAATTTGGCAACTGCTTGCCCTCCTCGGACTCGGAGTCTGCGACATGAAATCCTTTCAAACTCCTTACGCGGGGCCATTACCCGGATTCGGCTACTGCTCGCCCCCCTCATACACAGATCATAGCATTATGTGACAACTGCGTGGCCTTCTTTTTTTAAAAAGGGCGACAGCCTTGAGATATCATCGTGAAACAGACCGGCCCCAGGTAATTCACGCATTTCGTTCACGTAGCTCCTCTATGGCATCGAGATAGACAGAAGTATCGTTGGCTGCGCTCAGACTCCTTCGGTTCCTCTCAGCTGCTGCTGCCGCTGTACCACTGCTGCTGCCACTGCACCATCGACTGCTTGTGGAGAGGGAAAAGGACCAAAAACTCCGAACGGGGCTGCAACAGGGGCTAATCCCTGTGCCAGCAATCTCATTTGAAACAATACCAATGGTAGCTAGACATTACTTGCCGGTGAAATAGGAACCATAGCGACCCTCGCCAGAATAGACATGGAGCCGGAGGCATAAGGCTCCGATTCAACCAAAAAAAAAAAAAGGAAAGGTAGCTCGACATGGATACATTGAGAATTTATAGACGCGAACGTGCCTGAGGGTAACCACAACCTGACCGTTGCCTCATGCTTTTGAATCAATTGAGCAAAGGCCCCTGACGCCCAAAGGAATTTGGCACCTTGGCCTGGATTCCTTTCAGTATTATGGATCGAAGTACCCACTGGTATACAATACTATACATATATTTGTCACAGCCCCTCGTTTGTTGTCCTCTTCTCCCTCTCTGCCTACGGTTTACCGGGCAGTTCTATTTGACGATATATATGAGTCGGTGAAACTCCGACGAAACAGTTTGTCACAGCCCCTCGTTTGTTGTCCTCTTCTCCC